TGCTCAGGGACACGGCTCCAATGCCCTCTAGTCCTTCCAGGGATCCAACACACGCAGGACCAGCAGGAAGAACCCAACCCCAACACCACAACGAGGGGAAGGACCTGTCCCAAACCAGGTGGGATCTGGGAGGGATGAGGAGACGCTGCCTTTCCGAGGGTTTGGCCAGTGAGTGTCCAGAAAGAGCCACCACGTTCCAGGCATTGGTTTTGGTTTTAGCTAATCAGCAATTCCCTCAAATTAATGAACGTGATGCAAAACAGATCAGCAATCTGCAAGAAAACCACCTTGAGAAATATATTGGGCCCCACAGATATTTCCTGGCATTAAAACACCCTGCTCTACCTTTTTCTAGGTAGAACCAACAACAAAATTGTCATTTACCCTCAACCTGCCAGCCAGACTTTATTAATTCCCAGTAAATTCCCATTTATTGCCGAGAGTTTTTATTAACCTGCAGGCTGAGTCACTCTCTCCTTCAAATTTCTCTCTTGAAAGNCAGAACAAAACCAAACCCTGCCTCTGAAATGTCCACCTTTCCCTACAGAACGCCTCCCTTCTGCTCAGGGACACGGCTCCAATGCCCTCTAGTCCTTCCAGGGATCCAACACACGCAGGACCAGCAGGAAGAACCCAACCCCAACACCACAACGAGGGGAAGGACCTGTCCCAAACCAGGTGGGATCTGGGAGGGATGAGGAGACGCTGCCTTTCCGAGGGTTTGGCCAGTGAGTGTCCAGAAAGAGCCACCACGTTCCAGGCATTGGTTTTGGTTTTAGCTAATCAGCAATTCCCTCAAATTAATGAACGTGATGCAAAACAGATCAGCAATCTGCAAGAAAACCACCTTGAGAAATATATTGGGCCCCACAGATATTTCCTGGCATTAAAACACCCTGCTCTACCTTTTTCTAGGTAGAACCAACAACAAAATTGTCATTTACCCTCAACCTGCCAGCCAGACTTTATTAATTCCCAGTAAATTCCCATTTATTGCCGAGAGTTTTTATTAACCTGCAGGYTGAGTCACTCTCTCCTTCAAATTTCTCTCTTGAAAGSAGWGGGACCAGCAAAAAATTAGGATCTYCYTGGATAAAAARCATTTTACATMTTCAAAGTCTCAATTTCATTTCRCCCMACCAATAAAAAMGGGGAATTTTCACCTKAAAATAATTCACCTGACCCAACTTCCCTAATTTTTGTTGTCCTTACACAGGGCTTAACTATGGCCCCTGTGACTTTAAAGCATTCCTCAAACCTGAACRGGACAAGCCAGGTGCCACTGTGGCTGCCAAGCACAAGAAATGTTAATTAGTCCCCATTCTTTGCATCACAAATGATTTGTGGAAGTTTCGTGCAGCCTCGCCCCATTTTCCACACAAATAAAATGAAAAGGGGCTCGGCAGAGGGAACTGCACCCCGGAATCTGCTTCCAGCACCAGCCCTTCTTCCAGCACTCACCAGGTCCTGCTGCTCCTGTGGCTCCAGCCATGCCCAAGGGAATTTTGTCTCTCCCTCTGCAGCTCTTGGTGTGGAGTTTGGGAATTGGTGTTGTTTCAGTGCTGCCCCATGCCTGTGGGATGCTCTGGGTTGCCCCAGCAGCAGAAGCTGTGATGGTTCATGGTCCAGGCCCAGGAGGGCTGGTGGGAGATATCCTTCCCCATGACATGGACAGGGTTTGGTGAAGCCAGAGAAGGGTTTGGCTACAGCAGTGCCAACTTTGGTTCCAGGCTGGGTGGAATCTCCTGGCCCTGCATCATCACCCCCATCACCATTGCCCCCATCACCATCATCATAACCCCACCACCATCACCCCCTGCCCTATCACCACCATCACCATCACCCCCATCAACCCCATCAACATCACCCCATCACCATCACTCCCTTCCACAACACCCCATCACCACCTTCCCCATCGCCCCATCACTCCCCCACCATCATTATCACCCCATCACCATCACCACATCACCCCATCACCATCACCCCATCACCATCACCCCATCATCAGCACCCCCAGCACCATCATCATCACCCCATCACCATCACCCCATCACCATCACCCCATCACCATCACCTCCTGCACTATCACCCCATCATCATCACCCCCATCACCATCATCATCACCCCCATCACCATTGCCCCCATCACCATCATCATAACCCCACCACCATCATCCCACCACCATCACCCCATAAACATCACCCTATCAACATCACCTGCACCATCACCCCATCACCATCACCCCATCACCATCACCTCCTGCCCCATCAGCCCCATTGCCATCAGCCCATCACCACCACCCCATCACCACCACCCCTTCATCATCATTCCCATCACCATCACCTCC